CTATCTATCTATCTATCTATCTATCTATCTATCTATCTATCTATCTATCTATCTATCTATCTATCTATCTATCTATCTATCTATCTATCTATCTATCTATTTATCTATCTACCGGAGCATCTATCTACCGGAGTATCTATTTACCGGAGAAAGAATCTGGAATGATTTGCCAAACAGTTTAAGGGAAGAAACTTCGCTAAAAAAGTTTATGAGTAAGTTGGACTATTACTATCAGCACCAGAAAAACTAGTCCTAGAATATTAAGCTTTCTGATAGTAAATATCTAACTTGTATTGCGTACGGATTTTATGTAAACCAAATTTTAATATCGCTGTATATTTTAATTTGATAAAATGCCGTATTTAAATAAAGGATTCCATCCATCTATCTGTCTGTCTGCTTGTCTGTCTATCTCTGTCTGTCTCTATGTATCTCATCTTTCTATCTATTTCTGTCGATCAATCTATCTATCTATCTTTTTATCGATTTATCTATCTATTTATTTTATCTATTTATCTACCCATCTATTTATCTATCTTTTTATCTATTTATCTATCTATCTATTTATCTATCTATCTGTCTATGCATTCGATTATTTTCTACTTTATAACTCACATCAGTTTCTTTGATATGTCTGATTCACAAAACAGCTGTCGCTCTTCATAATTTCGTGTGTAGGAAGCGATTTGAAGTATCGCACACGCTCCCAGGGTGGCTAGTCAATCGCAGACTAGCTCCTTCCTCCCCCTCCCTTCCCCCACCCTCGCCTGTATTCAGGTCAGCCAGGACAATCTTTGAAAAACTTCCAATTGATCCACTTTGGTTTCACAAACCTTCGCTTATCAAGGGTTTACTTGTCTTTAAGTAATAACATTTAGACTTCTTTCAGGTTTCGCTTTTTACTTGATTTATCTTGGTCGCTCACTAGGCCATATTGGAAATTATGGAATACCGAAGGCTATACAACACGAGTTTAAATGAAAAAGATGAAAAAGTGTCCTACACGTGTCTTTTAAAAGTACAGCTGACATAAGGCGTACGTAAACTTTTAGCAAGGCGTTATTTCTATAGTCTCTCATTGGTTCCTATTCTCGCCAGCCCTCGTCGTTTTCGTTGTAGTTGATCGTTATTGTCGGTGTTGTTTTTCTTTATGTTGCTGCTTCTGGTCTCACCTTTGATTATGATTTTTGGTTGCATTTAGAGTTACCTCTGCTTTTAATCTCTTCGACGTTCTTGTTATCTGTGACGTCGTCGTCGTTTTTCTTGTTATTGTTGTGGCGGTTTTTGTTGTTGTTGTTGTTGTTGCTGATTTTGTTGAGTGGTTCACTCTGAAGTTGTCCTACTGAGAGCACTTGCTGGGAACGTTTTAACAGCTTTCTCAGTCCCTTGCGCATATCTTTGTTACGACCAAAGTTCAACAAAGGATTCAAAACTCCATTCAGCTGCAGAAACATATTGNATCCATCCATCCATCCATCCATCTATCTATCTATCTATCTATCTATCTATCTATCTATCTATCTATCTATCTATCTATTTATCTATCTACCGGAGCATCTATCTACCGGAGTATCTATTTACCGGAGAAAGAATCTGGAATGATTTGCCAAACAGTTTAAGGGAAGAAACTTCGCTAAAAAAGTTTATGAGTAAGTTGGACTATTACTATCAGCACCAGAAAAACTAGTCCTAGAATATTAAGCTTTCTGATAGTAAATATCTAACTTGTATTGCGTACGGATTTTATGTAAACCAAATTTTAATATCGCTGTATATTTTAATTTGATAAAATGCCGTATTTAAATAAAGGATTCCATCCATCTATCTGTCTGTCTGCTTGTCTGTCTATCTCTGTCTGTCTCTATGTATCTCATCTTTCTATCTATTTCTGTCGATCAATCTATCTATCTATCTTTTTATCGATTTATCTATCTATTTATTTTATCTATTTATCTACCCATCTATTTATCTATCTTTTCATCTATTTATCAATCTATCTATTTATCTATCTATCTGTCTATGCATTCGATTATTTTCTACTTTATAACTCACATCAGTTTCTTTGATATGTCTGATTCACAAAACAGCTGTCGCTCTTCATAATTTCGTGTGTAGGAAGCGATTTGAAGTATCGCACACGCTCCCAGGGTGGCTAGTCAATCGCAGACTAGCTCCTTCCTCCCCCTCCCTTCCCCCACCCTCGCCTGTATTCAGGTCAGCCAGGACAATCTTTGAAAAACTTCCAATTGATCCACTTTGGTTTCACAAACCTTCGCTTATCAAGGGTTTACTTGTCTTAAAGTAATAACATTTAGACTTCTTTCAGGTTTCGCTTTTTACTTGATTTATCTTGGTCGCTCACTAGGCCATATTGGAAATTATGGAATACCGAAGGCTATACAACACGAGTTTAAATGAAAAAGATGAAAAAGTGTCCTACACGTGTCTTTTAAAAGTACAGCTGACATAAGGCGTACGCAAACTTTTAGCAAGGCGTTATTTCTATAGTCTCTCATTGGTTCCTATTCTCGCCAGCCCTCGTCGTTTTCGTTGTAGTTGATCGTTATTGTCGGTGTTGTTTTTCTTTATGTTGCTGCTTCTGGTCTCACCTTTGATTATGATTTTTGGTTGCATTTAGAGTTACCTCTGCTTTTAATCTCTTCGACGTTCTTGTTATCTGTGACGTCGTCGTCGTTTTTCTTGTTATTGTTGTGGCGGTTTTTGTTGTTGTTGTTGTTGTTGCTGATTTTGTTGAGTGGTTCACTCTGAAGTTGTCCTACTGAGAGCACTTGCTGGGAACGTTTTAACAGCTTTCTCAGTCCCTTGCGCATATCTTTGTTACGACCAAAGTTCAACAAAGGATTCAAAACTCCATCCAGCTGCAGAAACATATTGTAGAGAGGCCAAAACGGTTGCATGGTCTTAAATCCCTGCATGTACAACAACACAAAGTGTTACCGGGAGGAAGGCTAACAACATTATTAAGACAATCACCCCGATAGTGTTCGTTAGACGCTTTTCTCGTTCTGAAGTGACGTGAGTTAGCTGAGGATGTTCCCCTTCCGGCCAAATTTTCTTAAACTGAGTTCTGCAAGCATATGATAGTATAACTATCAAAGAATATACTGTTAAGTAAAACTAGCATGAATTTTCCGATTGGCGAAAACTTTCCCTGTAATTTGGCCGGTAAATACATGGCAAGTGTGACTGCTACACTGATCAGCCACTTGATACAATTCATCACGATAGCACGCTTTTTGGTCAAATACGGTACAGGAATGGTCGTGTGACTGCAAAGTAACGATCTTGGCTTATAAAAGCTGAACTAGCGAGGGTTTCTAGTTTGACCAAAGAATTTAGGCTAGCTACTTCGAAATTCATCTCGGGTAAG